ATTCGTGACCTCTAATTGAATTTACTCCTTGTGAAAAACAAAAGTATCAAGTTACCTTTGTAACTAAGAATAAAAATATCTCGTTTCATTTGCATACTACTAACTCCTGGGCTGCTTCAAAACTCAAGACTCATCTCGTTCATAACTAGCCACCATTACACTGAAAATTATGCACTCTAAAACAACCCAATGTATGTATGTAACTGTCACACTCCCCTCCAGACCGGACTAAAAATCACAAACCGGCAACATACACGTCACTCGTTATTTTTTTATCTTCTCATTCCAATAGTAAACAAGAACCTTTCTAATTGTAAAATCGTCACCGAATAATATCTTTTTGTTCTGTTGACAAAATTAATCGTAGTCTCTTCGCTTTCCACTTTGAAACTTATCAATGGATGTTGAAATTAACGACACGCCCGGAACACTCATTACGAACTATGCAGCAATATTTACAAATGTAAGCTTCAATACAACACGCAAACGATTTGAACCTGGTCACAACCTCTTCACATTCCCAGTAGTGCATTCCGCCCCCCCTCCCCCCTAAAATACAATTGTTCCTATCATAGAAACCACATCAACATTTTTTTCATTCGCATCTTAAAACTAGTAGTAGAGCGGCTAAGACTCATTTAGTTCAAAACCTTATCTAATGGGAAAAGCTCACCCTTCATCGCATAGTAGTTATATGCCAAACACTGTGTTTCTTTGACTGATTATCCAATTGGAAATGATTATCAAACCCGCACACAAAATCTCAGCCTAACCCACAGAAAATGTCGAAGTAAGCCCAATATNGAATGCTCCTATCTCCGAGACTTATAGTTCACAAAAAAAATAACTCTTGCACGCCTTGCGTGCCTATGTTGTTTATACATACCTTGTGTTTCTCACATACCATTTACCTTTACAACAAGAAATTTGATTGGCTGTTCATAGTAGATCCAATCTGATTGGTGTGACATACATACATCTCTCACTCACTCACTCACTCACTCACCCATTGACCCGTCCATTACATACCCGACGCGCCGGCTACGAGGTATTTTTTTTACAAAAAAATAACTCAATAAGAGCTAATTATGTTTTGCTTTCCTCAAATCTTTTGTGGCAGGATACTCTTACGAATCAGAAATCAGCCGAAACTATCGGGCATGTGTTAACATGATTGTTGCATAAAAGGTTTACGCGAAAAGGAAAAAGAAAATATAAAACAGCGAAGTCCTAAGCAAACTTTCAAGCATCTTCGGCAGACATAATGCAAGCAACTTCGCAATGAATTTCGCTTCGCCGAAATGCCACAGAAGTTGTGATACAAGAAAGATGAATTAATAAATTACCGTAGTTTAGCACAATGAAAGCAGCTTACCTCTGGGTAAAATACTGGTCAATTTTCCGCTTCACTTCCTTCGCGCCAATACGTCGCCTTGAACAGTGATAAGGTCAGTATTCGATTGCTTTATTCTCTAAGGAGCGAATGTTCAAAAGGCTAACAATGAAACTGTATTTATTGCCGTTCCATGTTGCAACACCGGGTAAAAACGTTGACAGAAATACGCACACTTTTTTTCAGGATTCGAGAATTCAGTGCACTGTTTATCGGTCTTTATTTTTAACACATGTAATCACCAACGAAGGTTATTGATTACATGGCGAATTTCAGCCCGAAATCTCAGCCCGGCTTCTGAAACAAATTCTCATGAAATCAAATTGGCGATTACGTGGAGAATGATTCAGCCCGGGCATGTAATCGAAACAGAATTTCAGCCCGGGCTGAACAGCAGGAAATAAGATGGCTGCCGCTACGAAGTAGAAGCGATCTCAGTGGAATAAAGGCGATAAAATAGAGAATCTCTCTAATTTTAAAGCTTAGATGGANACTCACTCACTCACCCATTGACCCGTCCATAACATACCCGACGCGCCGACTAAGAGGTATTTTTTTTTACAAAAAAAATAACTCAATAAATGGCTAGAAAATATGGTTGTTGGGTGGGGAGTGGAAGAGGCCACCAGAAATGATATCTGACTTTTCCAGTTTAGTCAGATTTTTTTTTTTATCTGAGGGACTTTTTGACACCGATGTCTGTAGCAACTGTAGAGATTTTTGCCATTTTATGCCACAATTGTTTGTTAGATAACATGGAATAATGGTGAGGCCCAGAGTTGTATGGCGTTATTATCCCCACCCTTTCCTTTCAACCATATTTCCTATGACAAAATTTTACCATTTTCTGATTGACTGTTCTGACAATGAGAGACACAAGTTTTATACCATTCGACAAAATAATCTGCAAGTTAAATTGGGACCAAGTGGTTTGGAAATATGGGTAGGTTTCCAGAAATACACAAATTAGCCAAAAACTTTTGAATTCTTTAATGCCACCCATAAACTGAACATTCTTCAAGAAAAATAGGCCGGAATGTCAAGTAATTTCCGTTACATTGTTGCGGGACTTTCGGTAAATTTTAATAATATACGGATTGCAGGAAAGAAAGAAATTTGCTCTTGGTCAAAGACGAAAGATTGACTACTATACTCGTAGTCTATCTTGGTCAAGGATTCTCGGTCTGTCAAACTTTCCGTGTTAAACTTTCGGACAGTTGCAGTGTTCCAAATGGTACAGCATTTTTCAAATTTTCAGGGATCGATAATCCGTCCCATATACCCGCCTTGCCCCGTATGAAACCCCACGCCCCCACCCCGCCCTACCCGCCCCACCCAGTACCTTTGCCTCTTCTTATGTAATGTTACTGCGGGCTCAAGTGAATGTAAACCACGTGACCTAACACGGTCTCTCTGCGTGTGGTTCGCTTTGCGTTCAGAGCGGTTTACCTTGCGAGTGCCTTCAAAGTTTCTTTTTTTTCCTTCATAAGGTAAGTTTCATATAAGCCATACTTTCTAGATGTTTCCTCTTGAGTTCTTGTGCCTTTGTTAAGATAGACTTTTGAACTTTCCTCGGTAAATGTTGAAGATTTTGCTGTCGTGAATATTTCATCCATTGGCATTGAACGTAAGCTCGAGATTAGGCGACAAATATGTCGTTTTTTATCGTTCACTTACCCAGAATTGGGGCGTGAAGTCTTACTTTAGGTTATCTTTCTTACTCTATGAAAGAAAGGTAGTGAATCTGGGTAAGTTTGAGATCGCTAACAAAGTTTTTGAGTAAACTTCTGGCGACCACGTGTCGCGGAAACGAAGCTTTCACAATGAGCTCTTTATTCATGCGGTGCAACTGAAAACCGCGTGCTTCTGAAGATTTTCTTGCAGCATATGAAGTTTTCGTAACGTTACCAGTATTTATAATTAAGGAAAATTCCCGTACTGAACTGACAGTTGTGTTGGCAGAAAACTCGATTATTGCGACTTCTGCCGTCGTCGAGAAGACTCGGAGGGGAACAACTGTCATGACGTCGAATGGCGGCTATACAGCGTCTCCTGATGACAAGGGAATTGGATGACGCTTGGAAGCTTCAGTGGTCGAGGCCGGACCAGAGGCTGGGTAACTACTAATATAAATGACAGCTCGACAAGGCTGTAAAGCGCTGGAGTCCTCGAAAAACATGTATGTTTGGTGTGGGCTTAATTGAAGTTGGATAGGGCAAGAAGAATTTTCTCACGAGGTTTCTGATCTATGAAGGTTTATCGGGGGATGCTTAACTTCGAATTTCCACCCAATTCCGAGGTACTCCATTTTCAAGAAAGGTTTCCATCCTGACGGTTTCTGACAGATGAGTAGACGCAGTAAATCACAAAAGGCCGTTCGATAAAACACGAAGTCTCGTGTAACACATTCTAAACTTTTCCTAGTCTTTCAAGTTTCAAGACCAAGAACGGTCGATCTACAGAAGTTCGCGAAGATTTCCTTTGAGATTTCGTTTTCCTTCTCCAGTTCCCACTTGGTTTGTTTTCCATCGGTTTCAGTCAAAGACGCAGAGAATCTTTCCTTCCAAGAGTGCAGTTTTCCATGTCACGGCTTTCTTCGCCTTCTTTGATCAACATTTTGTTTGTCAAAGTATTTCTTTTCTTCACCAGATGCATGCTTTGGTGAAATTCTTTATTTTACATTTTTTCCATACTTATTTCCAATGATAACTGTTGATACTTGTCTTTACTGTTAGTCCTGGAGTTAAGTGATGCCAAGTTATTCAGTTATCAAAAGAAAAGTAGATGTTAGTTTGCTTCACAAGTGTGTGCTTAGTTTGGTGACATGTTTCACACCTTGCATGGTATTGAGAATGAACAAAGTGAACATTCCTGAAACCAACACTTGTGGATTTTTAATGCTACAAGCTGTGTAGTTACTTGTGTCAACAATGTGAGAAGAAATTAGCATAATTCAAACCTTTCATCACAGGGGAATTTGTCTGTAGATCAATCTTGATAAAATCAGTTTTGATTCTCTCTTTGTAATGGCTATGTATGACTATTTTGTGAACTTGCCTTTTCAAAGTTTGCTTGTAAAGCTAGTTTAAATGTCGATGAATCACTTCAATCAAATCTCTGGAGGAAAAAGCAATGCCTGTAATGTTAGCTTTTCAACTACCTCTTACGTTGCGAACAGTTTTATTTAATCAGTGAGTTCAAAACAATATACATTGGGGTCGTCCAAAATGCCTGTCGGGCACCCAGTAGCCAGGGCTCGAAATTGCGACTCACTGGCAAAATTGAGCACTGGCGACTAAATTTTTGGAACTGGTTGCCAGCTAGCGACTCGCGTTTTGTTTGATAACTGAAGAAAACCACGACACAACTTTTGTTTTAAAATTGTTATATTGGGAAATCAATCGGATACAAGATAATCGAAAAAATTGAATGTATTTCAACAAGTCGATACTGCGTTCACGGCGCGCCATATTGTTTCAGCGGCTTCTTCCGAAACTGGGATAGCAGGCGCACTTCAACACCATGTGCTTTTCATTTGCCGCAAAAATGGCGGCAGATACCAATCAGTTGAAGGAATTACGCTAGTTTTTATGTGCGGGCAATGAAGATTCAGCCAAAAGGTTAATCCAAACTTTGAATCCTTCGAGGAAAGCAAGTCAAAAGTAAAGAACAGCATTTCAAAGAAGTAGCAAAGGGAAAATACGCAAGGACCCATGTTTGTCTCACAATGAAAACCACGAACTTTAAACGTTTTATGGTTCACTTCATTTAAAATGACCATGGAGACAACAATCACCTTCGGACCAGAGACATATCACCTGAGAACAACAGTAGCTTTAAAACTAAGTGTAACTCATGTTGTTTCCAATTGTTTTCGCTCTTCAATTGTGACTTTCCTTGCATGCAAAGTAACATATAGAATTGCGTTCATGTGTAAGTTATATATAAAATAAGTTGGTGACCAAAATTTTTCCATTAGTCGCCAGCTGGCTCCCAAACGAAAAAGTTAATTTCGAGCGCTGGTAGCATTATGTCACATTTTAAAAGCTATCACACCCAGCTTTGTTGATGTTGAGAATCGATTTGAAGGGTTTTTTTGCAATAAAACTGTTTCTGAGTTTCCTTTTGCCTATTAAAAAAGGTAGAGTATTTTATTATTTTCTTGCAAAGTGAGCTAGTTTTTGTGATTTGGAGTTTGACAAATGGCAGCTCAGAAAACTACCGTCTTGTTAGTAAGACTTTACTAATTTGGTGGAATAACACTTTTCCAAAGGAGATTCAACTTTAAAATGTTTTTTTTTGTGTGTTGGACTTCTTCCAAACCGATTCAATTGTTTCCCTTGTTTAAAGATGGCCAGGTTAACAGGGGTGGAATTCAACTGTTTCAATAAAGTTTTGTCAAAGTTCTTGTGTGTATTTCTTTTGAGTTTCCTTTTGGTAGAGTTTTTTATCTTTTCTTTTTAGTTTATCTTTTTGTACATTCTATTTTGGGTTACCATTTTCCTGAAAAGTTTGACAACAGACATTTTCTTCATGGGCTTCAAAGGAGTAAAGCAAAACATTTCCAACTATTTTTATTGCCATGGAATCTTATGGTTCAAACCAACTGCAAAGTGGGTGATAGACTTCATTAGTCAAACAAATTGTAGGGATGTGAGTCACATTTGTAAAGAGTTGAAATACATGGTGAATATACACCAGGACAGGGAAGACAGCCAGTCATTACTAAGTGAATGTATGACATTGATAGTGACTTTCCCACTAAGGGAGCAAATATGGGACCATCCCTGCTAGTGATACAAATTGTTTTGATTTGTTGTTTTCCTGAAATTAATCTGCAGTTACAGTCAACAGTGGTTCTAATGCCACAAGGATTTACCATTTGATATCCCAGCTTTTAGTTATGCATTTTCAACTGTGAAGGGGTCCTGAACATAAGAATAAAGACTAATAAATTTTGTTCCAGTTGGGATGAACAATGTTGTTTGACACTAGTTAAAACTAAGATATGTTTACTCTAAACTGAGAAAAGTCTATTGCCAATTTTGTAGTCCAAAGTTTTATTTCACAGGGCATGGATAGTAATATTAAGATTTTACTCTGGCTTGCATGGTGCATTGCCTTAGATTTCTTTTGACACTGGTTTATTTTCTTTCTTTTGAGGAGACTTTAGAAAATAAGTAGTTGACATTTGTCTTGTTTAAAATTTTCAGGCAATATTGCTTATCATAGCATTTTTGTCATTTTTCTCTAACATTTTATTTTGATGACATGATATGTGCTGTGTCTGTACCAATTGACCTTTCTTGCTTGCTTTTGTAGGGTTGACCGAAAATGGCTGCTGAAAACTGGCAAGATAATCCCGATCTCAAGAAGTTGTACATTTCTAAACTGAAGCCTGAAACAACAAATGATCGTTTGGTGGAGCACTTTGGAAAATATGGAGAAGTTACTGAATGTAAAATTGTAAAAGACAATCAAGGTAATTCAAGGGGCTTTGCCTTTTTGACGTTGTCTGACCAAGCAGCTATTGATACCATCTTAGACGACAAACCGCAAAGCATTGATGGCCAGACGGTGTTCATGAGGAGAGCAATCCCTAAAGATGATCCAAATCCCCTAGCCCAGGCCATTACTAAGAAGCTTTTCATTGGAGGGCTGACTGAGGAGGCGACTGAACAAGACATCACCAATGTCCTCTCTATCTTCACTTCCCATCAGCCAGAACAAATTAAACTTATGCGGGATAGAAACACCAACAAATTCAAGGGTTATGCATTTGTAATATTCCAAAGTGAAGACGTTGTGGACAAGCTATTTATCATCAGGAATGCCACAATCAAAGCGAAGCGTGTTGAACTGAAGAAAGCAGAGGAGTTAGGTGCGCCTGGTGCTGGTGGTCGTGGAGGTGCTCGTGGAGGAGGTACCAGAGGTGGCGGAGGTTCCAGAGGTGCCAGAGGTGGCGGCGGTGGTGAATACAGAGGAAGAGGTACGCGAGGGGGCAGTTATGGTGCAAACCATGGTGGTTTTTCTCAATCTTATGATTACAGTTATGCTGGTTATGGTGGGGAGTACGATGGTTATGGTGGTAGTGGTGGATTTGATTACAATGGCTATGGCAGTTATGGTGGCAGTAGCTATGGTGGTGGTGGTGGTTATGGTGGTGGTAGCTATGGCAGTGGTGGATATGGTGGAGGCTATGATATGGGGAATTACAGGTCTGAGGCCTCTGGCTATGGACCAAACAGGCGTGGACGTGGGCGTGGAGCTGGTGGCGGCGGCGGTGGTGGTGGATATCATCCTTACTGAAGAGTTTTTGAACACTGATTCATGCAACATATTTTGTTACTGGACCTGTAGTTAAATGAAGGTGTGTTTTAGTGACCAGACAGTGACTTGAAATCCAATGATCACCTTGCTGTGCTGGATTAGATTGGACTTGTACATGTGTTATTTTTTTTTTATTGCAAGATACTTTACAATCTGAACGAACTTGATTCTATGACTTTATGCCGAGATCAGGGACATGACTAGAACTTTTTGTAGGTTTTTTGGGTTACTGATCAATATTCTGTAGTTAGATAATGGCAGAACATTATTCTCGGGCATGTTCTTTCAGGAGTTATACAGTTTGATTGAAAATCAATTGTTATAGTTGTCTAATATGCAAGTTTTCTAATTCTTAGAGTAGACAAGTTTGACGGACCTTTCATATCAAGATTTTAACAATCTTTGTAGTGAAGTGCATTATGCATATTCATCTGGAGAAAGAGATTGTGTCTGCTTAGGGAACATTTTAATTTCACACTGCAATTGAACATTGTCAGCATGAAGTTGGGACAAACATTTCCATCATGTATACATGTAACTCTTTGTGATATTCATGAAGATGTGTTGTCTCCTTTGAAGTTGTATTTATTGCATTTTTAACCTTTGTATAAAATAAACACTAGTAACATTTATTTGATGATTTTAATTTTCTTTCATTGCCAGTCTAATAGATTGTTGAAATCAAAGAAAGTCTGTTTACCATTTTCTCCAGTAACCGTTGTCAACCATCTAAATTTGAATGTTTTTCTTAAGGGAGTGGTGGGGTAACAGTCTGACTATAGGTTGCATCCCTTAAAACATCCAGAAGAAGGGCTAAGCCTGAAATGTCTGGTTTGCACCAGCTATTTGAGGTTTTTAAAAATAGTTTTTCAGTCTTGGGTCACTTTTCCATCATTAATTCCTGCATTGTACAAGTTTATTACTCATTTCCTCATACTGAAGGGTGGTTCAACCTGCTGATGTTGTTTTGCATACTGGTACAGGAACAGGGTTGAAACAGTTAGGGAAAAGTGAGGGAATTTTGAAGTAGGTCAGGGAATTTTATCTTCAGGTTCCTTTGTTTGTTAGAATTTTTTGTGGACTGGGCTATTTTGTTGAGTTATCTTTTTGTAAAAAAAATTACCTCTTAGTTGGCGCATCGGGTATGTTATGGATGTGTCAATGGATCAGTGAGTGAGTGAGAGATGTACGTATGTCACACCAATTAGATTGGATCTACTATAAACAGCCAATCAAATTTCTTGTAAAGGTAGATGGCATGTCAGAAGATTTGATCCCAACACAGTTTAGAACAGCCATATTTATTCTTCTATAAAAGAGAAGGAAGTATTCATATATTGGGCTTACTTTGACATTTTCTGTGGGTAGGCTGAGGATTTTAGTTACAAATGAGATGAGCCTTGAGGTTTGAAACAGTTCATGAGTTAGTAATATGCAAATGCAACGAGAAATTTTTATTTTCAGTTACAAAGGTAACTCGATACTTTTGTTTTTCACAAGGAGTAAATTCAATTAGAGGTCAGGAATCNGATTGTTTTGTTTTTGTTGCATGCAAATATAATGAGATATTTTTATTTTTTAGTTAAAGGATAATTTGACATGCTTGCTTTTCATAAGGCACCAAGTTAAAGTGCAATTCAATTAAATCAAACTTTCAATGTGTCAGAGAGGTTTTTTTTCTCTTTCTTTCTATTTTCAGTGAAGTAGTGTTTGTGTTGTGTAAAAAGCGAAAATTTACAACTTGTATAAAATGCGAAAACGTCTCTGAGTATTTTTGAGCAAAAATTCCTTGGGGGTTGGAAGGGCTATGTGATCGGTGAGTGAGTTATGCATGTGCGGGTGTCACACAAATCACAGTGTGGGTTGTATCAAAGAACGAATCTAAGAAAAAAAATAAGATGGTATCTGCATTAATCTGGAGACGTGTCAGATTACTGTAGTTTGTTCAGTCAAACATTTCATGGCTTACTATTTAGCTATCTTACCATTAGCGATGTAACATCTTGTGTACATCATAAATTCCCAGTTTCTCTCTTGCTGTACGTCGCAACCAAAACAACTTGTCAAATTGACCAAATCATTACTGTAACTTACTGTTAATAATGATTTGGTTAATTTGACAGGAATGCACCTATTTCCAAGACTTCACAAGAAAAAAGTAACTCTTGCACGCCTTGCATGTCTATGTTTTATAAATTATCTATAAACCAACCTCTTATCTTCACTCATTGCCAGAGGAATCATCCTACAAGTGCAGCGAAAATTGCTTTACAGTCAGGGGATTTTCTTTCTATTTTGCTGGGTGGCAACAAACCTGTGAATCAGCTCTCTTTGCATCTCCCATTCTTTCTTTTGTGTGTTTTGTTTTGATAAATGACACTCTGTGCCCCAATCTGTCAGCCTGTTTGGCAGGCTGCCATCATTGTGCTGCAGTCATCAATGCAGTCTGCAGTCTCAACTTTCACATTCTCAGAAGGTGACAAGTTTCATCACAGCAGCACTCATCTCTCCCTCCCAGTTTATGTTTGTTGTCCCTTACTGTATGTTAGTTTGTACATAATAAATGAAGTAGGGTCAGGGAATTGCTGGCTGCAGCCCCCCTTCGGCCCAGTGCTGAAGCCCCTTCAGAGAGGGACCATATTGATTTTGCTGGACTGGTTTGGCCCAGGATACTAGTCTCTATGTCCACCTTTGCAGTATGGACATGAGGCACCCCCTCCAGGCCATGTTCACCAAGCCCCTCATTCCCCATCTGGTCAATGGGTTTTTATCCCCTCCAAGCCTTTGCCAGTATGTTCCTCACCCACTTTTCCCACAAGTGAGTTCGCTGTCAAGTTGTCTTGCACATTAAGCCTGAATAAGTTAACAAAAAGTATATGAAAACATACAAGTTCTTCCCGTGTCTGGCCAGTTGCCATGAGCTGATATCGCTCGCTAACACTACAAGAGGTTCTAAACTGATTGTTGTGATGTCTGATATTTCAATGTCAGAGGTACCTGAGGGGTTGAATACACCAACAAATCAAGCTAACAGACAATGAACCGCAAAATTCTTTGGGTCAGTCTAGTGGTAGGAAACAACATTTTAATGGGGATGGCCTTACCAAATCCAATAGATGACTTCAAAACAAATTTTAAACCATGCTTTTTATTGTACACTTCACTTTCTAGCTAAAATACAGTGAGTTTTCTGTGATTCTTTTTATGATGTAGCTTCTGTTGTATGTCTTTCTCTCTTTCGTGTAACTGTGATAAATGTGCCTTGATGGCTGTGACTTTCTGTCTAAAATGTGAGGCTGCTTTGGCATCCCTAGAGAGAAAAATACAAAAGCAATCAATTTTATTCTAAGTCATTATGTCATTAAAACCTACACAGGGTTATCCAGACCAGAATATTAACAAACAAAATCGTCATAATATGAGGACTCATGTACTCTCAGTTTTAGGAATGTCATAACTAACTTTTCTTCATGTCTGCCTAGAGCCATTTCCTCTTTCTTTAGCTGCTTCTTGACAGCTGATATTTCCTCCTGTGTCTTGAACAGCTGTGGAAGGTAAAACATTACTAGCACAGTTAACTGCATACATCCTTGATATATTCTATCCGGGTTGCAACGATACATAGAGATATTCTTGATTGACTGTACTGTTTTAGTAGAACCGCCTATGACGTCATCACTTTCCTCATTTGCATAATACAAAAATGTAAATATCTCTAAAACAAAAAAAGATATTCCAAAAAAGGACAATGCCATTCTTCTTTACTTTGAAAAGTCTTTCAAATAAGCAGCAATTATTTTTTACTTCATAGGCACTTTAAAGAAGCTCAGTCACGATATTTTGAATTATTTTGTCGACACACAAAATTACCTTTAAATTGAAGAAAACTTAGAGTAGTAGTAAACTAAGATAGAGAAACACCATAGAAATAAGCCATGAAAGAACAAGGATGGGGATGGTGAAGATTAACACGGATCACAAATAGTGAACTTGAAAAATTTAGGCTAAACTTTTCAAGAATTAAGATGCCCAAACCATGACATAGCTCATTCAAAGCTGAAAGCTCACTTTAAGCCTACTCAACATCGAACCTTTAATATTGTTAAATAAATTCATTTTAAGGTCAGTTCAGAGTTGTGAAGAAAATGTAGTGCTGATCAGCACAATGCAATACCTGCAAGTTCCCAAAAGATCCTTCAAGGTAATTTTCCAAGGATACTCCTGACCCTTCATTTTTTTTTCCCCCTTTAAGGGTCAACCTCTGGACCATGGCTGTTGGCTGGCACTGTCACATCACTAATCAACATTACAGTCTGGGCTGAAAGTCAGTTAACGCTAACCCACTAGGTTTAAAAGTTAACCAAAATAATCCTTTTTCTTGTATAAAAATGTTTTTCACTGCTTATGTTTTGTGTAGTTTGAGATTCGTCAAACTCAAAACTAAAGGACAAACAATGTAAACAAGAAATTTCACCAAAAAGATGCAACACAAATAAAATTATTGCTAATCCTGGGTTAGTTCAATCAGGCTTTGAACAACCTGGCCCTGGATTTTTGATACCTCAATCTCCAGGACTTTTATGAGTGAGCTCCCTGTTCCCAGAATTAGCTACTCACCCTCTCCTAGAGGTCTAAGATAACAATTTTTGCCCCCCCCCCCTAACGTTGTGACTGAATAGGGTAGATATTGGCTCAACAATATGCTTGCTATGTTTATGTAAAGCTGCTATGTACCTGTAAATTCCAGTTTATATTTTTATCATCTCCTTTCTTTTTCTTTCCAGTTTCTTTAACCTGAAAGTCAGTTGCACTTGTTCCAGGAAGTGGTACTCTTATGTCATGAATATTTCCTGGAAAGACAAAAGAACTGCATGTGTTGCTTTCATACTCCTCATTGAAGGTGAAAACCATTACTGACACCCCCCCTCCACTCCTCTGGAAATCCCAGTTTATCTTCATCCTTTCCTTTAAGCCCACCCCATGGAAATTTCCAGGTACCTTCCATAAATGGAACTGCACATTCCAGACCAGTGCCTTTAAATAAATAAATGCTTTCTTTTGGATACATCGTTTAATCATGAGAATCAAGCAAGACCTGAAAATCAGTCCTACGATATTTTCACTTACGTGCTAAGCTAAAAATGTAAATATTAACGTTATGTATTCGATAACACCAAACGTTACTCAAAGATGAGACAAACATTTTACTTAGTTTTAAACTAAATGTGGCTAAACCAGCTAAAGTTATCACGTCAAGAGTAGATAAATTATGGTACTTTAGATCTCACCTCTCTTGCCCCCAAGTTTTGTGTTAATAAAATCAAAAATGTCGCCACTTGAGCCCTGAAATATTTGCAACAACAATTCAGCACCTAGGCATTTAAAACATTGTTTTATTACATAACTATAATTATTTACTGGTAAGATTACTATAATTCATCTGTCAAGAAAAAGTCCAATATATGTTTTATTACTAAGTGAATTGATATTTTCCTCTTGCCACCTGCAATGTTTGCACCAATTCCAAAGTAGATTAACATTTTTTTAGACTGTGAGCTCAAGGGTTCTATTGAGTGACAGTCAGCAAGGAACAGTCCTGAGTCATAATACCATCAAAGTCAATAGAAAAGTAAATAATATTCACTGCTGTTGTAGGAAACAATTTGAAATTAACTTGAGCACCAATCTGAGACCGTCAGACCTACAATACATGCACATTGTGTTGTTCATAAGAAACTATGATTGTGTGGTTTATACATACTTCTGTTGGCAATTTAATATTTTTCACTTTAGATGATCTTTGTCTCTGTCTTTTCTTTCTTCCTGGCTTAGGTAGTTTATTGTTTTCTCTAAGTTCTGCAATCTTATCAAGGGATTTTCCTGTAAAAATCATCATAGAAAAGATAAAAGATAAAAGTGCTGATGATTGTAGATAGAGCTGAATTTGTGGACGAGTCAGACATTCTAACTTGTCTATTTTGATAAATGAATGTACTGACTGATGTGATCTTTTAGGCCATGAATATTCAAGATCAAATACAAAAATTTTGTATGTTTAATGTTTTTACCTTGAGGTAAAACAACTGCTTCTACTGGTTCCACTATGCCACTTCCATCCTTTCCCAGGCCTTTACTATCAAAACAATATCAGTGAGTCTACACTGAGTTTCTCTCAGATAATTATCACAAGGTTACATACACAACACTGAAAACTTGCTATGCCTAAGGTGCCACAAAACTCTGGTAATAAGCACTAGACTTAAATGTTTGTAAAAAGAGCCCTTTTTTGGTTTGAAACACTATCATTCTGTCCTTTTCTTCCCATGCCCTAAAACTAGAATTTCTAGACTGATAGTGGATCCAGCAAAAAAGAAAAAGAAAAAAAAAACCTGGAATGGTATGGATATCTTCAAGCTCAACACAATCTTATTGTATCTGAATGTATATACCTACCCAAATATATAGCCCATCTTGGCCATAAGCTTTGACCCAATCCCCTGAACAGAAACAACAAAGAACAAAAATAATATGGACTGGTACAAATAATGAAAAGTCTAGAAATCCTTGGTTTATCTTCAAATACTTCTGAATCAGTTATCTTTGGAAATGTTTGCAAGCCTTTGGGTCAGCTTTGGAATTTGTCAAAAGACATCAGCTCAACTTGTTCAGAAGTCAATCTTCGAAAGACTTCAGGTCAATTTGGAATGTTTGAAAGCCTTCTTTAGAAGCCTTTGGGTCAACTTTAGAATGCTTAGACTTAAGATGTATCAACTTCAAACATTTTTCAAAACAACTTGGAGAAACCTCAGAGATGTGACACACAGTAGAATACATTGGTGACATAGAATGTCACCACTAACAATATTGATGAGGTGTGTGTTTTTGGCGTGTCAGGGACCTTGCGCTATGTACATTCCATTAACCAGGACACACAGGAAAGTATTTTATTAATAAACGTTTTAATTTTCCACTCTATTCAGTCTGCTTTGGATCCTTTGCTTATTTTCCAGGGGTCCAGCACAACCCTATTTCCAAAAATAATAACATCTAAGTTAGCCAAGCCTAATTATAAAAGCAGAGCTCCTGAGAACTTTGATTTGAATTTTGTAACTTTTTGGGGAGGTTTTCTGTATACTGTTTGGCCTTCTGTTTTGAGTTTGAATTTGAATAATCTCACAATACACAAAACAAAAGCAGTGAAAAACATTTGCATATAAGAACTATTTATACTTCTGTTAACTTTAATCCTGGGTTAGCATTAACTGGCTTCCGGTTAACGCTAACAAAACACTTGCCTGCAGTTCGTGTTGTCTACATTTCCCTTGTGTTCTCAAATGCCCATTGTGTTTTATCACAGTGTAATATATGGCTCAGGCTTCTTTATTTGTTAAGTAAGAACCTCTAGTGATATCAGTTTTATACTTTGTATATGCTGAATGAGAAACCCTGATTAAATATAGGTAACTATCAATCTATCTTCCAGAGTTATCACACACAAATAACCAAGTTCCTCACTTGGAGGGAGTTGGGGTCTATAAAATTGCTGTCTTACTTTTGTGTGTTGTTCCCATTCTCCGAGGCACACAGGACCCCCTGATGGTTTCCATGACAACCTCACTACTGCTACGTCCTCTTCATCAATGTCTTCAGTAAGCCTACTTTCTTCACTGTCACTGGAACTTGAAAGATCATTGTCTGACACATTCTCTGAGTCTCTTTGATCTGCAAAGGAATTTGTTTTCGCTTAGAAAAAAAGACACATTCAAAATTCAGAGCAGCCAGTTGTTATTAATAATATTTTATAATACACTAGCTCTTAAAGATTTTTCTTATTTCTAAATCCAAAATTTATGTACTTTAATTTATTTCATGACTCAATTAAATGTCCTTCTTCCAATATCATAGCTGGCTGTCAGAAAGGGCCATAACCTCTAACACCTATTACAGTTGGGTATGCTTGATGGGCCCTTGATGCTACAGGAGACCTGTTGTTGATAAAAGCCACCAAAAGTAACAAGTCTGTAACAGGTAAAGACCAAGGTTACAGGTGAATCAAAACTTTATGACAGCCCTGCTTCCGATATATAATAAATTACAACATATATATTTATTAACATTAGTGATGAAAGAACCAGGTTAGAAAATCAAAACTGTCTACTGGATGTGGCATATTTTTTAAGTACACCCCATGTTTAGATGCATTGATTTTTTCTAGATCTTGTCTCCAAAAGCAGACATTAAAAAAGGCAAGATCAAGTGTTTCCCAAATATGCTGTGTACCACAAAACTACATATCAGAATTGATTTCAAAGTTAGACAGAATTTTATGAGACTATGTTACAATGTCTTGGTTTTGGCCTCCTGACTGTATGTTGCTGAGTATTGTGAAAAATTTAGTTGACTTTGTTTGACGTCCTTTTCAAGCTCACCTAACGGAAGGATCGCATCTACATGAAGCGTGGCATCAGAGTTGTATGTATTGTAATGAACAACAAAAGTGTGCGCATCATGGTCTATAGACCTAGAAAACAATTAAAATACATAAATTAATATATGGTCATCATGTGTTTATCAACAGAAGGCATGATGGCCTCATGGTTAGAGCACTCATCTCCCGATCAAGCAGTCCGGGTTTGAGCCCTGGCCGGGGACATTGTGTTGTGTTCTTGGGCAAGACACTTTACTCTCACAGTGTCCCTCTCCATCCAGGTGTATAAATGATACCGGCAAACTTAACACTGGGGGTAACACTGTGATGGACTAGCATCCCATCCAGGGGGGGAGTAGAAATACTCCTAGTCACTTCATGCTACAGAAACTGGGATAAGCTCTGGCCTNTTTTATCCGTCTGTACTCCAATTGATGATAAAATGAGCCAATCAGCGCGTGAGAAATTAGACAGTTATTGTAACAAAATATTTTAACCAGGTATCGTGTTAAGCCTACCAGCCCATGTTACCTGCCAAAAAAAACCATTCTAATCTGGCCTTCATGTACTTTTCATACAAGGACAGATCACAAGTATTTTCTCTTTGATTAAAAGAAAATGTGGAATGAACAAACCTGCAAGCATCATCATCAAATCTGCATTTGCTATCCAAAAAATAAGGGCAGGGTACCATGGATTTGTGAGTAGGATTCATAAATAACACCCTAACCTGTTGAAGGGATTGTCAGGTAGAATTAATACATTTAAAAGCAAAAGCCTGTTGAACATATAACAAGGCAAAATATGATTTTTTTGTCTGATTTAATCTAATTTCTTGGTCACTAATAAAGAATGGGAGAGTTTCTTTTAGTTACCTTTATCCTTTGTATATTTTAATCACAATTTTCATTAAAAAATCAAAGCTAATAATAATATTGTTTTGAACAATCAAGACCAAATTTTGGGCATTGTATAGCCTTGATCAACTCTTCTGCTCCTTTTAAAATATACATGTATCTAATTAAAAGTAGGTACAAAATACCTTTGTTTCTTCCTTGCCACCAGGTAACTCAACTGTTTCTGCATCAAACACCATG